TGCGAGATACCAACAGAAAGCTCTCAAGACGAGGAATCCGTGAAGGTCTGGTTTGCATCAATCGGAGTAGTGGAAGACTTCCAAATCGACCGAGCAAAACACGACCTCGCAGAATACGTTTTTGTATTCAAAGTAAGTTTGAATCCAAAACCTTTCTCTCTATTGTCTAAACCATATAAGTGATTGAAGAACTATTATACACTGATTGAAGTGTATAAAATGTTATTATAAAGTGACTTTAATTGTTGTAAAAGTTAGATACTAATCTAGACAAAACCTTGAAAGGTTAGGGAACGATTTCGTCGGGAAACACCCGTTCTAGGGACTGTTTTTGTGCCTTCGGTTAGGAGTTGAACTAGCACTTTGAAGAGGCTGTTTAACACTCAATTCCAAGCAAGGAATCAGTCCTCAATCTTCCTTGGCCGAAGCTTGGGTCATTGGATCGAGAAGGAAAGTTTTAAAGCTCATTTGAGGTGAGGATCGACATCTAATTGCTTACAACTTGTAGGTTAAGCATGAGATTACCTAAATGCCTAAATCATAATTTTTCATGAGTTATGATGATTGAATATTGATAAAATATTGATATAGTGGCCAAAGAATGAAATTGGGAATGATTTGAAGTTGTATGGATAATATGAGAATTAATGAGTTATTAATGAACTATTTTGGTGAAATAGGCATTTTACTCATGTATGAATTATGTGGATACATAAATGAATATTTATGTATTGAAATTGAGTACTTAAGTTGCTGCTACATACTTATAAATATGTAGAGGATTTCAAAATGAGGATATTCGTATGATGACAATAATCTTAATAGTATTGAAATACTAGTTAGTGATTATTTGAAGTTGTTGATAGAATTGATCCTAAGTATTGGATTGTATGAAATGCACTTGAATGTACCTCAAGTGTATAGAATGACTTAGTATGAAGCTAAGGGTAAGTTATGGGCAGTCATTAAGAATGACCCAAGGTAGATTATTGAAATGTCAATTCTAGGCATAGGGTTGCTTAGGAATTGGACTATAATGAGGAATTAGAGCCGGACTCTATGATTTGCATGGAAATGTAGTTGGTCCGAGACCTTGCCATGTAAATTGTGATTTGCATAGAAATGTAGTTGGTCCGAGACCTTGCTATGCAAATGTGATAGGATGTAAATTGTGATTTGCATAGAAATGTAGTTGGTCCGAGACCTTGCTATGCAAATGTGATAGGATGTAAATTGTGATTTGCATAGAAATGTAGTTGGTCCGAGACCTTGCTATGCAAATGTGATAGGATGAAATTGTGATTTGCATGGAAATGTAGTTGGTCCGAGACCTTGCCATGTAAATTGTGATTTGCATAGAAACGTAGTTGGTCCGAGACCTTGCTATGCAAATGTGATAGGATGTACTTGACATAAAGGATTGCATAGAAATGTAGTTGGGCCGAGCCCTTGCTATGCAATGGTAACGTGATGAACTTATGAATTGTCGTGGCTTATAGTCACGGGGAATGAGAATGGTGATTTTCTAAATGAACATGGGCCCACGGGCGGACTACTTGACTTTTATTAAAGTAAGTATATTTTTAAAACGGGGTAACTTAGGGTTACCACTATATTGTATTACCACCCTATTTGAGGGTCTTGTGTTTGAAATACTTGTTGTATATCTATTAGATGCCATCCACACCAGCACTTTATAGCCCTATAGAGTGCTGACCCCTTCGGGGGCGTCCCACTACCATTTTTCAGGTTGAGGCTCGAGCTTGCTACCTGTGCCCGTTGCTCGGGTGATCCTTTGGAGAGAAGACGTGGTTCGTGCTTTCTCCATTCTGTTTTGAACAATATTAAACATGCTCATGGATATTTTACTTTAGAGCCTGCGTGCTCATGAATAGCCCTGTGTGGCCCTTTTGTTTTAAACAATGTTTTCCGCTGCGTTATGAATTACTTATTATGTTTGTTTATGGATGTTATATGTGTGAATGATATTCAAGACGCCTTGTATAATATGAATGTGTTGGACTGCGGTTGACTATTCGTATTGTACGGCGGGTTGTTGACGTGTCCGGGGAGGTCCGGGGCGTGACATCCTAGCTCAACAATCTCATTGAAAAGTTGGTGACTTGGAGTTATTAAACATATTTTACCCTTTTTTTTTATTTTTTTTTATTTTGAGACACTGACTTATAAAGTTAAATGACCTCATTGCATAAATTCATAAATGAATAAAATTCATATTCATGATATAAAAATGTTTTTAAAATTTGTTTTCTCAAATAGATCGTAATTAAGGAATTTGGTTTTGAGGTTAATTGTATACTTTTTGTAGTCTTTTTTTGTATTTTAGTACCAAATAATGTGTCATCATCTCAAATTTGGTTATAAATTAAAATTTACACATGAATATTTTTAAAATATGAATGATTAACTCCATAATAAGCTAATTAACTCCAAATTTTATTCATGAACACTTTCAAGGGATTTGTTGAATTCGAATCTAATATGGAATTCTAACTTTAGAGAGGACTCCAACAAAAATGTTTTTAATTGGACTGTATTTTGTCTGGTTTGTCTATTTTGATCGTATGTGGTCGCATCTAATCTAATATTATTTAATCTGATCAGGTCATATTATCTGGGCATTTTCAACTCTTTTTGTCGAACAAATTTACATCATTCAACTAATAGTTCAAATGGAAGTATTAATATTAGTTTATTTTGAAATTGAAAAATATATAAAAAAAATAGGATTTCAAAACTATGATACTTGTTTTCAATTTGGAATACATGTACCCTAAATTAATTTATAATAGCTTTTTATTAATCATAATATCATTCCACTTATATATATATATATATATATATATATATATGTATATATATATATATATATATGAGTGCTGTTCCGGTCAGGAAATTCCTGACCGGAGCCCCGCCCGGCCTCCTTTATTTGGGGGCCTTCCCGGTGGTATTTTTTGTTCAAATATTTTGTGTAGGTTCCTCATCAAGTCTAGTTCATCCATACCAAATGTCAGCCAATAATTCAACCGGGAAGGTCGTCAATTTATTTTTGCAAGTTAACTGGTCCGAAAAATACATATTCCGGACCAGTTAACTTGCAAAAATCATTTGACGACCTTCCCGGTTGAATTTTTGGCTGAAATTTGGTATGGATGAACTAGACTTGATGAGAAACCTACACAAAAAATTTGAGCAAAACATATCACCGGGAAGGCCCCCAAATGGAGGAGGCCGGACGGGGGGAGTGGTCCGGCCTGGCCGGACCTGAATATTCATCATATATATATATATATATATATATATATATATATATATATATATTGAACATAATTATCAAAATATTATTTTTACTTTCGAAACGATAAAAATAACAATTCTGAATAATGCTAAAGAGCATTCACATATGTTTAAGCTAAAAAATACGGGCAATTAAAAAACATTTCTAGTATTCTTAACAATATTATATCAGGAAATTAGAATGTGTAGCTAGAATGTTTCGAGAGATTTATTTTAATCTAACATGGAGTTCTAAATATTAGGAAGGGCCTTATTTTCTGGGAGATTTATCTGTAGGCATTTTCTGGTCATATTATCTGGGCACTTTCAACTCTTTTGGCCAGATAGATTTATCTAACTTTAGGGAGGATTCCAACAAAAATGTTTGTAATTGGACTATTTTTTTGTCTGATTTGTCTATTTTGATCGTATTTGGTCTGATCTAATTTGATATGATTTGATCTGATCAGTTCATATTATCTGGGCATATTCAACTCTTTTTGTCCAACAAATTTACCTCATTCAACTAATAGTTCATATATATGTAACATTTCAAAGTTCAGCTCCATAACATAGTCTCTAGTTCATACACTAACTCTTAATTCATACATTAATCTTCATCCACAACTTGAAATACCAAACGTATTCCTAATAAATCTATGATGCTTTTTGGCAACCCTTCAGCATCAACGAACTTTTTTCGAAATAGAGGATTGCTTTATGTGCCCCTAAAGTTATTAAACCCGCGTAAGACAATTTAATCCTTTTTATAACTAAAAGTGCTTCTCATCACATTCTAACAACCTCAAACATTTTTTAATTCTCTAACGTACTGATGGAAAGGTGTACATATGGAGTATTTTTTACTTCTTATTGTTCTTTAAATTTCAAATTTTAAAAGTTATTTTTGTTAAATACATTGGAATTGTGTTCTTACTTCATTCTGTTTACACCATTTTGACTTTCCAGATTGAAGTATTATTATTAGTTTATTTTGAAATTGATTTTTTTAATTAAAAATAGGATTTCAAAACTACAATACTTGTTTTGCATTTGTAATACATGTACCCTAAATTAATTTATAATAGATTTTTATTATTCATAATATCATTCCATACACACACATAAATTCAAAAAATTATCAAAATATTATTTTCACTTTTGAAATGATAAAAATTACAATTCTAAATAACGCTAAAAAGCATTCATAGATGTTTAAGCTAAAAAAATCAGTCAATTAGAAAACATTTCTTGTATTCTTAATCTAATTGGAGTTCTAAATATTAGGGAGGACCTTGTTTTCTGGGAGATTTATATGCAGACATTTTTTGGTCAAATGGATTTATCTCATTCACTAACAATACGTTCAGAAACAGTATTTCAAAATTTAGCTCGAGACAAAAGTCTCCATTTCAAATAACATGCCTTAATTCAGACATCAGCTTCCACTAGCTATAACTCTAAATGCCAAACATAATCCTCTATGAACCCATTTGGAGATTATTGTTGCAGTAATTCTCCAACTGAATTGGTTGTAGTTACTGTGAAACACCATTTTAGTTTTTTTTGGGTATATAAGTAAATTTAAGATCCAAAATTTTACACCTCAAAAAGTTTGAAATCATAGAAGGAAATCAACTAAGCACTAGAGTGAAACAATTCACACTAATGATAGATAATACCGATAGTATCTTGCAAAATCCCAATACCAGAGTGCAAATGATATTTCTTTTGCCTCACAACAATAAAATTAAGCCGTGTATCCCCTGCTATTTCTTTTGCCTCTTGCTTTCTCAAATTTCCCCCCCTTGGCACGGACATAAGGCTTGGTGTGACTGTGTGGAACACCTGGAGCTGGGCCGAAGTGTTTAACTGCTTCACGAGAATTTTTAGGACCTCTAAGCAGAACCGTGTTCTGTCCTAAAGGAGCACGAAGAGCCAACTGATCAAAAGTGAAACATTCACCGCCTGCCTTCTCTATTCTGGCCCTTGCAGTTTTGGTGAACTTCAGAGCACAAACCTTTATTGCGGGGACATCATAAGCTCTTAAATTATCGGTAATAGTGCCAACTAACACAGCAATCTTGTCCTCCTTTCCGTTCATGAAGGAAATAAAGAGAAAGCGGAGGCTTGTTGATCTTGCTCATAAACAGACGCTTCAGGATGACGGCATCGAACTGACTTCCGGTTCTTCTCACATCACATGACATGAATTATCCTTATATATAAATATTTTTCATCCCTTTTATTTTATCTTTTATATGTACATTCATCTCTTTTATATTATCTTTTTTTTATAATAGCTTATCTTTTTTATCTTTATTTTCTTTCTTTTCCTTTTGGTGATATCATGTATCGATTCATGTTAACCGACCCTAAAATTTTTGGGGACTAAGGCTTGGATGTTGTTGTTGTTGTTAAAAATATTTGTCGGTCACAAATTAATCCGTGACAGAAGTGTAAAATTTAACATTTTTTAAATTCCCTCACACAAATCAAAATATTTTTTTTAATCTAAAAATGTTCGTCACGGATTTATCCGTGACAAAAGTGTTAATATTTTAATTTTTTTAAATTCCCACGCACAAATTAATATTCAAAAATGTTATCACAGACCATATTCTGTGACAAATGTGAAACCTACTTCTTTGGTGAACTTTTTTATCAGGGAAGAATCCGTGACTAAGCTTTGTCACAAATTCCGATCCGTGACAAATTTTTGTCACGCCAAAAAGGCCAGGTCACAGAAAAAATCCGTGACAAAACGCCTATTTTTTGTAGTGGTCTGATGCACTTCATTTGATTTTGTCATATCAATATTGTCAGGGATTTTTGGAGGAATTCACTAAAATTCACATAGGATTTGATAGAGATATGTCAAATCTTTGCCAAAAATACTTTGATGCGAGCTACTTGGCATGAAATCAACGATCAATCCATATCAAATATGTGTCAATCTCATAATTTTGTTGTTGTGAAGTGTATAATAATAATATACTAATAGGCAAACAATAATAAAGTTCATAAGTATAAATGAAATATCACACGAAATGTTATATATGATCAATTTGATTGCACCTTATATGCGTTATTGAATTAAATGTGTTGGGTTAATGGCCCAAGTCGAGGTCCGGCCCATTCTCCCCTTCAACCAGACGTACGTCTACTTAGAACACAAGTGGACGGCAGGCCCATGTTCCTTAGAAACAGACGAACGTCTGCAATAGGGCTTGGGCTCAACGGCCCATCTCAACGAACGTCTATGCAGGAACAAGGAGTATGACCACGGACCATCGGGGATGACGACGAACGTCTCCAGAGCAAGCCTATGGTCATCGGGGGAAATCCAGTCCACTTGGTGAGAACCCATTAAGGCCAGGAGACGAACAGCCGATGCCTCTTGGGGATTACTTGGAGCGATCCAGCTTGCTTCCCGGGCGGACGAACGTCCCCACTATTTAGGCGGGAAATCTAGATTCTGGCGGGAAGTGCATTTAATGCTGAAGATTTGGTGGTTGGGACACCAGCGGTCCACAGGCTTCCACGTCAGCATAGCCACCTGCCCATTGGCGGGTATAAATAGAAGCATTTATTTCATTGTAAAGGGTTGGCAACTTTCTATTCTTAGCATCCTAGCTTAGCAATCTTACTCGCAGCACTTCTACTGCCTTGTAAGACGAACGACCGACGGAGCCTTAGCGAAAAGTATTGTATTAGGGAGTTATTAAGAGATAATAATACCTAATCACTTATTTGCTACCTTCTTATCCTCTTTAATCCATACCATCTGCTTGTTGGGCTAGTTTACTCACACACACTCCACTCGAAATCCTTGGGCTTACGTGTTGGACCCGAGGGTTGAAGGAATAAACCTCAACAAAATGTATTAAGTTATTAACCAATGTCATGATGGTTATGTTACATGTTTTATAAATGTTATGAATGTGATGGCACCGTATAATAAATGATAATGGATATTGGATACACGGAATTTGTGTATGTGTGCGTGTATATGCACATTTGGATCGAGTAGCTATATATAGCCGATAAGAACACCAAACACTATACAATTAAAATCGGTACACTACTTTTTCCTAGTTATAGATCAGATACTCTTCTTATATACTTACCATGTAAGGTTTGCAATTAGTATTATTATATTATTATTAGGATTATTAGCTTATTTTATCCCAAACTATCATCAAATTAACAAATCTATCATATACTTTCACTTCTATAAAAAAAGATTCGGGATGTGTTCTTTTGGACTGTTTTCAGTCCTAGACCAGACCAGACCAGACTTAAACAAACCAGACCAGACCAAACTTAAACAGACCAGACCAGACCAGACCTGAATTTCTTAGTTATAAAATACACAGAGACCAGACGTTTACCAGACCAGACCAGACCAGACTAGACCAGACTTAAACAGACCAGACCAGACCAGACCAACAAATTTCTGTCCAAAAGAAAACATCCTCAAACTTCATCAGCTTTTTCCATCTTTTTTAACAATTATGTTTTTTCAAAATTACACATTTTTATCAATATCAATAAGATATAAGCAATACAAGTTTGTAAACTTAAAGCTAAAAAGAAGTTAAAAATATGAAATATAAACGTAATTTTATAATTAATTTTTACGAATTCATCATCCTTAAAGTGTAATTGTGAGATATATTTGTGAATTTGACTATAGTTAGGGATATACTCCGTATTTAGCTAATAATCCTTATGGAGTATTATTATTATTATTATTATTATTATTATTATTATTATTATTATTATTATTATTATTATTATTATTATTATTATTATTATTATTATTATATACTAGTATTAAAAGTAATAATTTTAATTGTCATGAATATGGAATCTCTGATTTATATATTCAGACAATCTTACGAAATCTACTGGACTGTGTTGATACTTGATATATATATACCTACGTTGCATCTTGTGAGTTAAAATTTCGATGAATTTTAGAACTGATCAAAAAAGGGTTTGTGATGGTGTACTGGCCTCTCCTAAAGTCCTAATGACCTAATGTATTACCTAAATATTAAAGAATTTCGGAAAGACCCTTTCGTTCTGAAGACATTATATATATTTCGGGGACATTATATATATTTCGGGGTAGTTGTTTCCATTTATATGGAAATGCTTCTTCAGAGCATCCGTTAGTAAATTAATAAAGCAAAAATGTAATTACTAATGCACTTCTTCACGAATAATACATTTGTATATATATACTAGTACTAGTATATGATTTAGCAAACTTTGAAGGTGAATTAAGAAAGCTAGCCTAAATGTAAGATTCTATATACTATCTTCTGTCTCTTTTTAATTGCAACATGTTGACTTTTTACATTGTTCACATAATCTACTTTGACTACACTTTACACTATTATTTTATGGAAATTATATTTTTAAAAAAATATTTTTCAATTCATCTCATTACAAATTTTCAAAATTTGATTTTTAATATTTTTTTTGATAGAGATTAAGACATACTTACGGTCAAATGTGTGTGTTGACAAATGTGCAAAGGTTGACTGTTGCAACTAAAAAAGAACGGAGGAAGTATATAGTGTGCATGTACCCATGGTAAACTCACATGCACACGTGGACATACTCTTTGGAGTTCAAAATACTCGTAAAATAAATAGTGTGCGAAATACTCCGTAAATTTAGAACTTACGAATGTACGAAGAATTTTAGAATACCATTAAAACTATCACAAATGAACTGTATACAGAGTATATTGTACTACCTCCGTCCCGAAAAGGTTCACTATATTGACTTTTCTTGGTCAATGATGACAAGCTTTGAACAATGATTTTAATTATTATATTTTATACGGAGTATAATTTATAATTTTTATACTTTTACGAAAATATTTTGAATAAAGAATATTTTGATATATTTTCATATTAAAAATAATTTCGTATTAGAAAATATTATTAGTCAAAGTTGATTGTCATTGAACAAGAAAAAGAATTTGGTTAACCTTTTGGGGACGAAGGGAGTAGTATATACTAGAGTAGAAGTTTGCACTTTCCTTTTTTCAGATGTCCCGGAAAAAGAAATCTAGTTTAGAAAAAAATCATAACTAGCTAGCTAGCTACTCTTAATTGCATTTTACATATGAATTCTTTCTTATGTAAAAACCCAAAATAAGGCCGGTTGTGTTGATGGATAAGTTTGTTTGTGACGAGTATGCATGCATGTTGTGCACGAAGGGGGTTGTGATGATGATGTTGATAATGGTGAATATGGTTTATGATTGCGAATCAAGGAAATGCACGGAATCAGCATATTGTAAGTGTATGGAAGAGTGTTGTGTAGAAAATGACGGGAAATACGGGAACATGGAAGACCCTATGACGTTGGAAGCACATTGCTACGGTGTGTGTGATACTAAATTCCATGCTCCATGTTCGGAGAACCTCAGCTGCATGATTGCTTATAATAATAAAGCTGCCGCTGCTGCACTACCATCTCTGCCGCCCAACTAATTAATAATCATATACTTCTTCCGTTCTTTTTTAGTTGCAACAGTCCACCTTTGCACATTTGCCAACGCACACATTTGACCGTGAGTATATCTTAACCTTTATTAATAAAAAAAATATTAAAAATCAGATTTTGAAAATTTGTAATGAGATGATTTGAAAAATATATTTTTTTAAAAATAATTTCCATAAAATAATAGTGTAAAATGTAGTCAAAGTATATCATGTGAACAGTGCAAAAAGTCAACACGTTGCGATTAAAAAGAGACGGAGGATAGTACTATTTTCCGTATCGCATAAGTTGCAACATTGCAATTTATACACTATTCATGTCCTCTACTTTGACTACATTTTATTTATAATTAATGTGAATTATTATTGCTGAAAAATATGGTTGAATTCGTCTCATTATTAAGTTTCATAATCTGATTTTTAATTATTTTTTACTAATACATATTTAAACATAATGCCAGTCAAATTTATGCGTTGGCAGACGTGAAAAAACTAAGAAATGTTGTAACTAAAAAAGAACGGAGGAAATATATATACCTCCACCTAATGAAGTTCCATGTATCTTTGATAAATAATTACCATACTGATAGATCAAGAATATAATACTCCGTATAATATAATTGAAGCTTCAGTTAATTATATTGGTCGGTCAAAAAAGAAAA